TGATAACAGTACGAAATAAAAAAAAAGAAGCAGAGCTCTTCTCCTCTGTCGGCTTCTGCCTTAGTGTTCGCGCGCCTCCGACATTACTTTTGCCTTCGCTAAGGCCGTAGCCATCGCTCTTGTTGCTCACCTGCAGCCCAAACACCAGGCGAATACCGGTTGGATGCGTTTCGACCGCTGCGCTAGCGGCGCGCCGGACGAACTGGACGATGATGCCCACTATCCGTGAGCCCAGCAGCCCGATGGACGAAACTCTTCGGGCATCACCACACAAAGTAAACCAACCGCGTTACAGAGTTCCGTGTGCGTTCACAAAATTGACACACACAGCAAAAAAATATTATCGAACACCAGATCGACTTCAAATTCGTGTGGCGTGTAATAATCGCACTGATTCACAACATTCACGTCCCGTACGCACCTAGTTTTATTATCACAAAGTTTATTACTTATTACGTGGGGTAATAGTAGTTTATGGTCGCGGTTCGGTTTAAAAATTGCACGAAAATCGCAGGTAGATGTTACAAGTCCGAGTATGCGTCTGGTTGTGAGGTTACTCGCGCGCACCGCGCGAACTCAGAGACACAACGCGCAACCGCGACCGTCTCAAAGTGACTGACTCGCAAGCGGCGTGCGCGGCTTTGCTGAGCCAGCGAGAATGTAAAAGTCGGCCTCTGGTCCGCCGGTTCTAGTACCTGAAGCGCACACACACCGCTCAACGGTCAGGCACGGATATAAGAAGTCTCCCACTTTGGGTGGAAGGACCATCATCTAATAAATTGCCAATTTGAAATTTATTTTTCATCCCGAATAAATTATTCATCTGCGTGCGTGATTTTTAGCAAAACCCAAACTCGGGAGGTAATAAAATATAGTCATCCGGAGATAGGCGATAACGAGTTTCCATTTAGATTAGAATATTGTGTGTACATTGTGTGTTTCACACCATCGGAGCCAGCCGACAAGAAGACCAAGAAGACGGACGGGCAATAAACCACCGGGAGGTGCGTTATGCGCGGCTCTCGCGCAAATATATGCCCTTTCAGGTCGTAATCTACGAGTTCATACGGCACACACAGTACGCGCGAGCGCGCGATAACGGCCAGAGACTTATTGCCGCACGGCACAAAGGAAAACTAGGCGCATCGGGCTCTCCTGCAAGGCGTATCAACGCGATTCGCACCTCGTTGTCTAGCCGACCCTCTCTCCTATTGGATCGCAAGTGCAACTTTGCTAAATTACACGCGCACACAGTGTGTTGGGCAACAAACGTATCGGATGATTTAATGCGTAGAAATAAACGCAAAAATCGCAGCCAAGATAAAGCTCGCGCCAGCCGCGCGAAAATAAAACGAACACCGGGACGACGCGGCGCGCAAAGAGCAAACAGTGTGCAAGAGTTAAAAAATAGGCGCCCGCGGGCTGGCCATTACTTACTATAATTTGCGCTCTAATGTCCATTGTAATTATCGCAGATTAACTTTACTTTTGCTCTTCGGCTGGTGTGCGCGCGCGAGCCCACAAGACGAAAAAGCACCGACGGGAGGTCTCCGCCGCACGTCCACGTCCACACAACATCCACGTCCTTCGCGTCCTTCCCTCCCCCGGCGAGCGAGCAAGGCGCGCGCGCGTCAATGCGCGACCACGATAATAACGTTTTCATTTCTGTTTCATTTCTGCGTTTTGTAAGGACGACTCGCTGGCGAGCGTTTAAGCTTTAGCGCTGGCTACATAATCACCAGGAGGTCTTCCTCGCAATATGCATTTACTATAAATAAATAGTGTATAATTTCATAATTTTATACATTCCGCGAGTGCGCTGCCCGCTACGCGCAGCGTGTGCTAGATGTCGCCACGTGATGCGATGCCATCGCCATCTTTTACAGGTTATGTTTTCGAACGCTGGTAATTGCAGCAACGCGCTGAGACATTCGATTCGGCCGATAGTGTAGTGTCGTGTATGCCACATTTGTCACATAATAAATTTGCGCCGGGTGCGATAAAGTCGTTAAAATGTGATTTATGCATTGCACTTTTTCACAGCTATCTAGGCGTAGATCTGTCAAAGTTTGGTGGAAATTTGCGTTCACTGCGTCGTGCGCATTGTGCATGTTGCACATTCTGTGCAGTGAACGTTTTACCATATCGAATTGTTGCAACAAAACGCCGTGCGCGACGGACATGCCGATTCGGATTTAATGAGTTGCGACTTGTTCGCTTTCGTTTGATTGAAGCGTTTCTATTTCTGCGCGCAAGACTGACAGTCGACCCCGAAATGAACTATGCACTTATGATCGACATTTCAACTCTTTGGAAAGTCGATGGGGGTGCAAACGAATTCCGTGCGAATGTATTCAATCACGTGCATCTCGACGTAAGTGCATACTTACACGATTGGAAGCCTTCGCGTCCGGCTCTCGCAAAGAGAGTCGCAAAACTGCATTCCAATGATATATTCAACCTGAGTCGTTTTTTCCGCGTGCGCACACCGCTGCGCTGGAGCGGCGCGTTTTCGTGCATTTATTATCCGCATAAATAAAACAATTGCCGATTGCGCGCACGGAAAAGAGTGTGTGCAACTCCTTCACGGCATTAGATCGGGCATGCGCGCGCGCGCGATCACATCTTTATTGCCTTCAATATTCATATCAGACGAATCAATGCCTTGAACTTCCCACTCGCCGATCGTTCTTCATTCCGATTCAGCGGATGTCGGGATTGAAGCACATAACTCTCGCGTTTAAACCTCTAAGCTGCTGCTAATTAATTCCTAACTGCCATATAATTAATTACATAATTTGTGGTTTTTTTGCAGCTTTATTTGAATAATAGTATTAAATTATAAAATTATGCGGAAAATATGAATTCCCTCCCATAGTTCCCAAGAGGTCTTGATCGCGAACTGCGAGCGAGAGCGCTTCGTTAGCATATCGTAAAATCTCGGCCCGAAGAGCGCGCAAAACCATCAGCGTCCTTATTATGGCGGCTAATAAGCGCGTATTAAAGCATCAATGGAATTTCGCGACGATGTGGAAAAAATGCCCGGCTAAATCAAAATTGATTTATAACTCTTTTTGCTTTAAATCTGTTGACGCCTGCGGCGTGCATCTGGACTCAAAACACGCGTACCGACATCAGCGTCACAAAACCTTACCGATGCCGAAGGTGTCATTAGGATAATTAATCGCCTCTTTTTGCCAAAATTTTCTCTAATTAACACGCGCTTCCGATGCCGTGCTAATTTCCGATAGCGAAGACAACCTACAACGCATGATTCACCAGTTTAACATTGCCAGCAAAGCCCTCAACATGGAGATAGCAACAGAAAAAACCAAATGCATGGTCATCGCACCACATCCAATAAGATGCAAACTTGAAGTCGATGGACAAATCGTACAACAAGTGAGCGAGTTCCGATATCTTGGTATAAACATATCCAGCAGTGGAGGAGTGGAAAAAGGAGTAGCAGAGCAAGTTGAAAAGGGCCTGAGAATAGCAGGATGCCTAAGGAACACGATTTGGGACAACAAACATCTAAGAACAGAGACGAAAGTTTCCATCTACAAGGCAGTAGTCAGGCCCATATTTACATACTCGGCAGAAACGCGTGCAGAGACGACAACCACACAGAGATTGCTCACCACCGCGGAAATGAGGACACTAAGAAACATAGATGGCAAAACACTGCTCGACCGGATAAAGAACGAAGACATCAGAAGAGCGTGCAACAACATAGAAGACATAACACAATGGTGCAAAAGACGCAAAATCGAGTGGAACGAACACATAGAACGGATGGACGAAACCAGAATAGTCCGAATAGCCAGGGACAAATCGCCAAGGGAAAGCGATCCCTGGGAAGACCCCGAAAGAGATGGAGCGACCACCTAAACCCTGTCTGAAGTAGGAACAGGCAATATGCCTACAAAGAAGAAGAAGAAGAAGAACACGCGCTTCTACAAGCCGGCAACATCGTGTAATAGAGTTCGCAATCAGAGGCATCTCGCAAAACACCAGAGTGAAGCAAAAAAACACATATCCAACGCTTTTAAACATTTGGAACGAAAATAAAACGAAATGGACATCGTTCGGACATGCTTCGCCGATAAGCATACCTAATATTAGTAACACTGGCCAATGCGACGGCTGACGATGACGAATACTTTGAATTTTGAAGGTTCAAGTTGAACGAACCGTCGAAACAAATCAACGACGACCCGAAGGCGACGCGCAACGAATCATTAGTTATTCGAATTATTCAAATTTACAAATCACTTTCCATCCAGCTAACAACAGTCCACTAAAATATAGTCTATGATGAAAAAAACTAATAAACACGCAAAAACACACACATACTACACAATTATTAACTTTTTACCCAAGCAAAAAAAATGCCTTCAGAATAAAATATTTAAATAATGCGAGTAGTGATCGCTGATCAGAGATCACAGATTGCAACACATAACTTTTTGATTGTTGTTGCTTTGTTGGCTTGTGCAATAAATGCCCATTATACTCGATGCTCCTTCGGTGCAATATGTGCGCATATCGATCGAAGGCCCCCGACGCGAAGAATCGAAGAATGGACGCTGTTGTTGGCGTCGCGTATTACATCCGAATCCATCATATCGCGCTCGCGTACACGCTGGACGAATGTAACGAATTGTATGGAAATACACTGCATTGAAATAAATTGATTCTTAGCGCATGCGAGTTGATAAATGCGGCGCGTTGTGCAACCTTCAAATAAATCTTCGAAAACTCCTTAATCATCATCTCGCACACACACATACGCGTACGCAACGCACATTCAATGACATAATGTTAATGTGGCGTTGTGCATTCAATGCCTAAATATTGCATTTACTAATGACACGATGGCATGATATATAAATACGTATAATTTAATCTACATAATAATCAGCGTTATTTATTCATTCAACCGGCCGGCTGACTCACTTGTTCATTGGGCAATCGAATATAGAAGTTATTGCTAATACCTTTTCTGATTTTGCAATGCGTGATCATTGAAGGAATATCGACGATTGTCGTTGTTCTTCTTCCTTGTTGGTTTGTGCGCCACTAAAGTCGACTGCGATCTGGACACTTGAATAGTTTTTTGTTTCGTGCTGAGGGTTGGCGATTGATCTTCGAGGTTAGAATTCGAACGCAGTATGGTGCTGCCGCGCAGGTCACGCAACCATCTTGTCAGCATATTGGTGGCTTTCGGCTCGGACTTGGGTATTCTGCGAATAAAAAATAAAACATTAATAATGACGGAAACGATGCTTGGTTTGAGTTTGATAAACAATTGATGTTTGTGGTGTGGTGTGCGCGGTAGCACGCTGTGAATTAAGTGAATCGAGCGAATTTCGCGTGCGATGCGAGGCAATCTTTTGTGCGCATGTGTGTAATATGTACGTGTGTGTATGGTTGCCGCAGTGCGCTGCTGCTCATCGAAGAAGTTGCATTCGCACCGACGATCGCCGTTTTCCAATGCCTTCTTCTTCTTCTTCTTGGGCCAATGCAGCGCGTACGCGCACCGCGTTCGTCCTTGGGAGTTCAGCAACCTTTCGGACGATTGCACGCCGCGCACAACGCACACACTCACATACGATCGCATACATGTGCAAGCGAAGAGAGCCTGCGGATCGAAACGAAAAGAATTATAAAATATCGCGCGTTTATCGACGAAATATCGAAGCAATTAGAGCACTCGGCAGACGGGCGACGAACCAGATCAACATACACATACCCACATCTCATGGTAACCAAGGGTGAATGTTATGAAAGTGAGCTATGAAATCGAATTCCACCGAGGGGGAAAAATGCGCGAACGCAACAAGTGTGCATGCATACAATTTAAATGTAAATTCCGAAACACACGACGACGAAATGACGCGATTTATGCGCGTCCATGACGCCGGGCGTGCGGCGAAGAGGAAGAGCGTCGCTCTTCGCCGGCGCGCGGAGAGGCATTTATCTGATAATGTACCAGAGACAATAAATACCTGACTGGATGTCGCACGATTTTTACGCGCAGGGGTGCGCGAACGCGAACCTTGACAAAAGCGCAACGAGAGAGAAAAAATGTCATCGGTAAGCCAGGATCAAATTTTATTATAATAACATCAAGCTGAAATAATGCGAGTTTTAGATCCAGACAAGGGCGGCAATCGAAGCATGACTGATTTTTTTCTTGTTGCTTTTGTTTGGTGCGCACAAGTGGACTATTAATTTTTTCGCATTCGCATCGCGCGAAGAGTAGTGTCGATGTGGTCGATAAACGAAAAATAAAAGGTGCGAACGAATGCTTGTTGCATTATTGTGCAGGCTGTGAAAATAGTAAAATCTTTATTTGCGCGTCGGGCGCGAGAGACTTGCGACCTGCTCGCGCTGTTTGTTCGATTCTATTTTATTTCGTGTTGGCCGGGCGCGTTTGTTTCTCTTGTTGCGCGTCGATGTTATTTCGCTCGGCGAACGCATTACAATGCGAGAGCTCTTCTTTTCTCGCCGTCCGTCTGCGGATGATGGTGTGTGCTGGCCAACTGCACAGGCAGGCATCGTCGGGATGCGCGCCCGGCCGAGCCGAACGCCTTGATTTAGCGCGCGTCCGTCACGGATGCATGCTTTTTGCCTACGCCGTCGTCCCGATTGGAGCAACGCGCGAGACCTGGGGACCAGTTCGACGCGGGCGCGCGCCTGCCGTTTGTTCCCGAGCAGAAAATGCGCAAAACAAAACAAACGCCGCATTTAATGCGCCGCCAATCAGTAAAATACGAAGATATACAACTGGATAAATAAGGCTCGAAGAACAAAATGCTAGTCGCGTTTGCCGGCCAGATTGCGCCGCCGCAAGAAAATAAAGTGCTATTTTAAACTAGTTCAACTGGAAAACCTATTTCAGCCGGCACAAAGCTACACAAACTTAATTTTCCCGCAAAAAACACCAGCATAGCATAAAATACGTAACATACAGTTTGTCATCCGTCAAAATCAGATATAACCTCAAAAATACGCCCTACTCAATTGCAAAAGTAAGGTTATGTGGTTTCTTTGCTCTTTTGAAACAAAGAAATTAAAAGTTATTTAAAAATTTTAATGAAAATGAATGTTTTTATAAAATTTAAGCAAAAGTTTACAGTTTTTACTTATTTATTTGAATTTCAACTGCAATTAGTTTTACAGCACTGTGGCATTATCAAGCAAATGAATATTAAGATGAAAGACACTTTAAAACATTAATTACCTATCTAAAAAACACGAAATATTCAAAAGAATTGTAATTTTTCTGAATTTCTAGTGAATAGCAAAAACTAGTTTGCTTAAGCAAGAAAAAAGTAGGTACAGCAATTTTATGTACATTAAAAGCAAATCCGTTGAAAATAAAGTTTTTCGACTTTTGATGAGTTAACTGTTTCGAAAAAGAATAATAATATAGGTTAGGTATGCAAATGCTGTGAATGTTCAATTATAATAAATTGCATTATTAGTGTAAAAATAGTATTATGTATCGCTCAATTTATAAAATTGAACACTTATTTCCGAACAAATAAAATCTAACCTAAAAAAGCGCGCCATGGTGTAACCTAGCTTTTCTTCGAAACACCGCGATACGAATCTAACCTTAAAGTTTGAGAGTTGAAATTCTCTTGGGTTTCCTTCTTCGTCCTTCGTGCAATCGACGCTGCTTTTATTGACTGAAATGATCAGAGTAATGGATTTAATGCCGCGCTTGGCACTCTCTCGGCGCTGAACTTTCTGAAACGGGCCGCCATTAGAAAACGCCATTAAACATTTATTCGCAGCCGGCGCAGCAACAATGAGCGACGGCGGACTCGCGCCGACCACAATGCACAAAAGCTAATAGTATTACACACACGTCGTGTGTGGACAAAACAGCGCGCCGCGTGCGCTTTGAATGTCTCTCTTTGAGCGCGCGAATGGGAATAGATAAGTCTAATTTGTTGACTGAATCGAAAAATGGAAATGTTACAATAATCATACTTCATTAATCATTTGAGCGCGCGCGCGCAGCCGCAGCGGTTTCCATAAATTCGTAACTGTAGCCGGCGCGCTGGCATTTTTATAACGTAATGAAATTTGTCTCGAAGAGAATACGAAAAGTTCAAGGCGAGAGTTTTCTCTACGCGGCCGAAAATCGATTGCGAAATGACAGAATTTATTGTTTATCGTAGACAATGGCGGCTGCACAATGAATTATGCAAATCGCACGTCAGATGGATCAGATATACGTGTGTGGAACGGGCGAAAAGAATGTAAAACGCTGGTGTTTGTACAAATTTCGTACGATTTATCATTGTTTACAAGGCGTGAGAATATAATAAAATAAAAACCGACGTTGCGCTGTTTTGTTTTGCTGGTTCAATCGCGTTCAATTAGGCATAATTCCAGCGAGAAAACAAAAGCCTAACGACGTGCTGGTGTTTTTCACCGTCGTGTTTCCATCGCAGCGCGCTCTAGTCCTAAGCATAAATTAATTAACATTTTTTGTAGACTGAAGAAGCAACAGAAGAAGATTTTCAGACTATAAATAACTCCGCAGACTTTAATTATGTACAATAAGTTAATTCCGCGTGCGTTGTTTGTGAATCTCAAATGTGACTTTCACAACAAAACACACATTTTTTATTGATAGCTAATTAAGCAGCGATACAACAAACACCGCGCAACCGCACGACAGCAGATGTGCGTTTATTAGGAGTGGGATACGTCGGCGTGTTATCTGCGCGAATCTTTAATTAGCATGCGGACCGCCGGCGTCTTATCAGCGAACATTTCTTCGCGTAGCGTTCCATAAACCACGCGGCGGTTCGCCTGTTACGTCCGAGACACAACAGGACAACACAACAGCCTGAACGGATACAATGCGGACGTGCGGTGTTGGATTGGCTAATGATGCTGATAAGTTGCTTATTTTTTATTTGCTTAATTCATGCTTTAAATAGAAGTCGCTGTTCATTATCTTTACAGCTAATATAAAATGTTCGATTGGTTGCCTATAGCAAGCGTAACCTCAATAAATTTTCCAGCGCAAAATATTTCTGCTTCGAAGCTAATCTGAAATCATTGACGTATCAATTTTTACTCGCGTGTGGTCGTGACTGTCAAGCGTGTGCTATTTGGTTGTTCCACATGTGGCTTCTTGCACAAAAATTGCATCACGATTGGTCCCAGAATTGAGCGTCAACCACATGGCTTCGCGCATTGGAAAAATCGGCGCGCAGCATTTTAACTTGTTCGCATTTTATTGCGACAAAAGTAATGCGTCGAGATGCACCGATTTGGAATTGCATCTGGCCGGGAAGTCGGAGATAAACGCGCAGTCGGAATTAAGGCAATGCGCTGGTATGCGGCGCAAATTTCACTTTTTCACTTTCGTGCAGTTATTCATCTGAGACGCCTTTTATTACCAACTCCTAGATGCACAATGCCCGTGCGCCGTCTGGTGCACGGTCCGGTTAATAATGTAACACATTTTTGAGTCGTCCATCCGAGCATGGCACGTACAAAGGTGCATTATGTTGCACCTTAACTAAACGCTGCGCTGAGGAGTGGTGGCCATATAAAGGCATCCCTAAAAATGCGAGCAGGGTCTCTTAGATTCAAGGCGCGTTTCTTTTTTCCACGTGTAATAAACTAAAGCGTCGTGCCGAGCAGACGTTATTAAATAAGTACGCGAGTCGTGCGCGAGTGGCTTATGCGCGTTTTACGGCGGTGGTGTAAAAATGTCAATTAAGCGCGTCGAAATTTCGCCAATTTTGGGAGGATTTCAGGCGCAGCGCATTTTATTTCCCCCAGCTTGTTTAGCCATATGGCTGAAATATGTTGAGTACCTCGAAGGATGGGTCGGAGATTTGAGCAATAATAGTAATTCCGAATGCTAGATAGTTGTTACGGGTTTTTGCGTCCGTAACTCAAGGCAAGTTTATCCTTGCACTTAGTCTTGTGCTGCAGCGGCGCGACCGCAGCTAATGTTTCTAATTCTTTTCATTCTTCTGCAAATGCATCAACGGCAGCGGCGCGGGCATGACCTCGCGGCCCCCGCACCTCCGAGCGCGGCGCGACTTCTTCATTCCGCATTGCCGCATCGCCATCGCGCGCTATCTCAATGCACGCCCGTCGCCGTCGTCGTCGTGGTCGTCGTCGTCGCCATCGTCGTCGTGGCACATCATTTGAGATGCTAATGAATGGCTTGTTCGCTTGACCAAAGTGTAAAAATGTC